CATTTTTACTGCCACATTCTAACAAATGAGGTTATTACAAAAGTGCCCTTAATAGAGGTGGTCTTGCAAACATTGCGGGGGGGGGGAGAATGGAAAATTCTATGTTCACGCCTGAACATGCCAGATTTCATCATTCATAACAAAAAATGCTGAAGTGATTTTCTTTAAATTTGGGTTATTTTTCTTTCCTCTATTAAAGCTATAAAACAAGCCAAGTTTAAAGTTTGTAGCTTCAGCTGTTTTTGAATTATGCAAATATTTCAATATAAAAGTATGTTTTTCCATTGCTGAACTGATTTTGCTCAGACTTTCCTAAGATTTCCCTTTGGGCCAAGAGCAGTCATAAAATGTATCTGACTAAAAGTAATTTGTTTAAAAATGTTATGAGCAACTCTGTAAAAGGGATAGCTTTCACAGCTCTTGATTCTGACAAATGTTATAGCACACATATAGATATGACATATATGCTCTTGCCAGAGCTTGTGATTTTTGGTGCCTTTCTTAAAAGCTCCAGCTGCTGAAATCAGGAGATTGCATGTGTTCATTAACTCTCCCCCTTTTCCCAGCATATGTATTTTTTGCGGTTACAGAAAGAAGTATTGAAACATGAAATGAATATATCCCATAAGCTCAGGAACCCTCAGTCAAATCAAGAATCTCAGGCCTGGGAAAAGGGATATGATGGAACAAGGCTGTGGTAATGGGACCAGAGTCTTGATAGCCAAGTAATTCCCAGTATGGAGGAGGAGCACCCACACAAGGAATTAACTGAATACTGTTCTTCATATAAACTTTCTGGTAAGCAAGTCCATAGATCCTATTTTCAGTTACCAGTACCTTTCCCAAACCATAATTCTCTACTGAAAGGTTTAGTCACAGATGCCTCTCATAGGCTACTTTTTTCAAGAGAGTCTTATCAAAATTCAGTCATGTTGGGGACCAATGCTAGAGAAAATTGCAACATTTTTACCAACGCTAATTCTTAGGGTCACTGAGAAGACCCAATGTCTTCAAGTTCTTCAGTAAAAATATAAAATTTGACATAATCAAAAAATACACCTCAGATTGCCCAAAGAGGTTGAGGATGTCCCATCCCTGGACACATTCAAGGTCAGGCTGGACAGGGCTCTGAGCAACCTGATCTAGTTGAAGGTGTCCCTGCTCACTGCAGGGGTGTTGGACTGGATGACCTTTAAAGGTCCCTTCCAACCCAAACTATTCTATGATTCTACCACATGAAGAGGAAAATTTCAGACAACGATCGTTTGCATGTTCTCCATAGAGTCTTATTAGAAGCTGACAGTTAATTTAGTCGGCATTTCATCTGCCACAGCTCCAGTGTGCCAAACCTAAACACTCTTTTCCTTCCCTATAAACCACACTGATCACACTCGGCTTGAATTTGAGCTTGCCTCTTCCTTGCAATTATTCCTCCTGACAGAGAACAGGAAAGCAGGGGAGAGAAAAGGGGCCTTGGGGCTGGAGTACTGTGACGGAGGAGATATGAAGAGACAGTAGAAACACCCAATGTGCTCCATGGTAGAGAGAGATAATTTTTTCCTCTGAAAATATGAATAATTCACATAGCCAAAGAAAGTGGACTGACAATTGGAAATGGCTTAGATTGGGATTGCTGATGCAGTTATTGCTTCTCACCATTTTTGTGATCTGCTCCAGCTGCATGAACCTCTGAGCTGCTTGTGAATCTGTGCCTGAGTGCCTACGGCTCGTGGTCTGTTTGAGGTGAGCCACCAGTGGTTTTGGTGGGCATTAAAATAACGTTGTGTAAACTGCAACAATTAATAAGATGACTAAACATCTTTGCAGTATGGTTGGGCCAGATTTTTTGGAGGAAGTAGACATTTTAGCTTTCTCAGTCTAAGCTCTCTCCCTTGTTCGTGACACCTGTATTCTCAAAACTTCTTGGTCAATCTTTCTTTCCTTTTGGTAACAAACTGTGCCTTTCTGGCCTATGTTCTCCTCCTCAAATTGATACTTTCATTCTCTGGAATGTCCAGGAACCAACAACTGTTGCCACAGTTCTCTCCACATGTAATGATTAGCTGTATCTGGTTGCCTTCATCCCACCATGAATGAGTTGGCAACCTGCAACAACCTCTTTTATCCATCTTATTTCCTCTCCTTCCAGCCAAAGCTTTATCAAAGTGTATCCCCTCATTATTTCCATTACCTGATTTCCCATTCAACTTACACATAATTCATCAAAGAGCTGCATTCCTCCTCTTGTAACCCAGCCCCTCTCAACCTAGCCCCATGGCTACCTTGTCCTGGACAGTATGCAGAGGCTTTGACAGAGAAAACAGAGCTCTGTTGAGGATGCTCTTATAGCCATGATGTTGCCTATCTCATCTTGCTATGCATGGGCAGGGGGGAAGGAAAGAAGGTGGTGGGTGGCCATCCAGCTGTGTCTCTTCACAGAGTGCAGCCTGACCCAAGACATTCACTTCTGCTCCTGTGGCTCACAGTAATGCTGCTTCATGCTGCTGCCAGAGTGCATTCCATGGGGAAAATGGGGAAGGGGAGGAGAGACAAAAGGTAGAAAACCCACAAAGGCCAAATTCATCTCGGAGTCTCTTACTCTCACACCTGTAAGCTCCAGCTCCATCCTGCACTCTTCTGGACATAAACTCTGACCATTGCAATATGTGATCTGCCCAACAGCTGATGGAAGGATGGTTAAAAGCAGAAGCAGAAGAGAAGAAAGAGTAGTCCTTTGCCTCGATACTGATCCTCTCTAGTTGAGTCAATACTGACAGAAACATCTTCCAACTAACAAACATGTTATTACTAACCTGGACAAAATATAAAGCAGAAGGTACCAACACGCATATCCAAATCCATAGCTGACTTTGCAAACACTATTTTAATCTAGGCACAAACTCTTTGAGACTACATTGTTTCTGCAGAAGGGCAGGATAAACAGCTACACACAGCCTGCTTTTTCAGAAAATGTATTCCTCTTCTGTGTGTTAGAAAAAGGAAATTAATTTTATACTGGTAACTACTCCTAAATGCAGTAATTCTTCCAAAGATCATTTAGAAACTTTTTACACTTTCCACTGCAGGTTTCAAAGCACAAGTCGACCTAATTAGTGTTGAAATAAGCGTGTTAGCAGTACTCTATGCCATTCTGTGGTATCGTCATATGCTAAATTAAGGGACACATTTTCCTTTTTTCTTTATTAGGTTAATGTGAGGAGGTGGGAAAAAAGATGATCCACACCAAAGGAAGGAAAAAGGGGGAAAACAATAACAAATTGGTATCTCTTTCGAGAATTGCCCCAAAGGCCAAACATTTTTATGTTCTTAATCATTATTAAATGACTTAACATGACACACAGAGCCTGGCGAATGATTGCATCCTGACATGAGAACGAATTACAAATGAAATGAAAGATCAAGCTGTATTAGAGGACTGCCTCTGGGAAATGAAAATCTTTAATTCTCTTTTATTATTGACATTTATTTGGCTGCCATGAATAACAACATAGCAAAGAGATTCAGCTATGCTTGTGCACTGAATAGCTTATCCCACGGCTCAAAACTGCCTTAACATTTATCATGTTTGCTATTGTAGCTGACACCATTGCATACACTCTCTATCCATCTTGCATTTATCATGCATATAAAGTGCATTCTCTAATTTAAGTTCATTTCATAGCGAACAAACAGCTAAGATCAGCAAGTGTCAGTCCTCAAATAAGCTCCCAGTTGTTAAAATATCAAAGAGGAGATTAATGGATTTGTTAACAACTCCAGTTTGAAGAATAAAATAAGTACACAGTGGAAAATTAAATAAGAGTACAGGAGGGTAACATATAAGATTTAGGTTTACTGCCGTTATTACTAGTTCATGTACAAAAACATTTTTATACTGCTATTTTTCAGCCAACTGTACAATACTCGAGTGGAGTGCCTTCATATGGGCCATTCACGTAATGCAGTAACTTTCTGGAAGCAACACTTCCATCATTATTCAGTGAGACACACATACCCAACTCCCAATGACTGCTTTCTATTTCCTTTAAATCAGTTTGTAGCTAACAAAATAGGGGAGAAGCACATTATTGAGAAATAATTCAAACTGCTGCTAAGAATGATCTATACAGCAGTGACATACCTACTTAGTGCCTAGCCCTGCAGCCACAGTCTGAAGCCAATTCTGATTTTGAGGCAAATATGATATGAGCAAGCACTGGTCCCTCAGGTGCAAAGCTTCCTCAACTTCACTTGATTTCCAAAGGAGGAATTCAGCCCTGACTAACAACTTACCTTGTGAAGGAATGAACGACTAAAATGGCTTGCCACAGCACATGTTTTTAATAGCTTTATTTAGTCTAAAAGCATAGGTGGACAGAATTAAAGAGACTGTCAAAAGGTAGGCAGTCATGTTTATAATGCTTAAATCTGTGCATCGTACATCATCAATTTAGACAGCACAAAGTACTCGTATCCCTGTTAGAATACCTTTTTCCCACGTACTCCTTTGAGAATAGAAGAGCAGACGGCTGAGAAAAGCTATAAATGAGACTTTCTGCTCAAAGCAAAAAAGCCTGGAAATTCACTTAGTACTGGATTTCACTTCCTCCTCTTCACAAATGTTTAAATATACTATACTGTTGCACAGCTGTTCTCAGCAGGCATAGTGTGTTCTTGTTTGCAGCAAAGATGGCTACACAGATAAAATCTCAAGTCATAAAAATCTGAGTAAAACCAACTGGATCAATATTTTAGATCTATGTTATAAAAAAATAACTTAAGATGTTCAGAACTAAATTCTCAGGCATTTCTGTGAAATATTAACTTCTCAAATTCAGTATCTGAAAACAATTAGAAGTATAACAGATGAGAAACATGGACTAACATCAAAAGGCAAATGCTTGAAGTACCATTTAACACTCCTAATTTGTAAACCCACACTTGGAATTGATTAACTAGAATATTTACTATGAGTGACAAAGGAGATTTGAAAAATATACCTGTAGCCATTACAGTGTCATCTTTCCCCTGGGTAAAGACTACGATTCGTTGCCTTTTAGTGTTCACCTTTGGCAGGGCTTGTGTCTTCCGGGCTATCTCTTTAATGTCTTCAGTCTATTAATAGAGAGAGGGAAAATTCTTGTTACCAGCATACTAGAGCAGTGAGAGATCAGAACTTTATTAGCAAATCAAAGATTTATTTTCTTATGGGTAGGTATAAAATAGACTTTATTGTCAGTAGAGGAAGATTTTTAAAAGGAGGAATACTTCATTCTCCAAAGGGTTTATGTAGTACTATGAGACCATTGTTTTTAATCTTGATAATGATAGTTCAGCTATTCCAATTGCTGCAAAACTGCAAAGCTAACAAAGGAATTACAGAGCATTTCCTAATGAGCAATTAGTGGGTTTCTTTGCTGCTGACTGGATTCTAACCTTACCTATCATAAAATTAAAAAAAATTGGTAATACTTCGGATAAACCCTGAGCCCGATTTTTCATCCAATTTAGGCATGTTTTATAGTACTACAATCCCTCTTCAGCAGGATTACAAATACTGTTTCTCGTAACTTCCCTACAGCAACTGACCTCAACAAGTAAACTGGCTGTACGCTGCAGCACCTTAGTGGGTGTGCAGCCCAGGTGAACATGCTCTCTGCTCACTAGCTGGTTGCATAACTGAGATGCAGGGAAGCAAAGGGCGAAAGCCATATTCAGTGGGGAACAGACTTCCCCTATTTTCTGAAATAAGGCTAAGCTGCAAAAATTTCAGGTATTTTTGCTTTAAAGGTTCTTTGTACACTATAGTGCATGTAGCTAGGAAGAGGGGAACATGCTGAACCAAACCTCTCATTGATCCAACATCTTTGACAGCAACAAGTTTGAAATGTTTAATTTGATGCAAGAAAATCTAACAACAGAACTTGTCATTGAAATATTATCCTTCCTATTCTCATAGTTGCCCTATAATCTGAAATACAAGGATTTAAATTTCTAATTGACTTGTTCTCAATCTAATCTAAACATAGGTATTCCTGCTACTTGTATAAGCATCAAATCCTTTTATAATGCTACGCAGGAAGCTTTTGTTCTCAAATTTATCTCAAGACAGTAAGTCTACAAATTAACTTTAGTATGCATAAATCTAATTCTTCCCATCATTTATATTTTTCTTTTTTTTCTTTTATTTTTTTTTAATATTAGGAAAAGTAAGAAAGACTAATTATTCTCTGTGCTACTTACTATGTCCCATTTTATTAATATTTGTGTTAAACAACACCATACTTTTTTCCCACTTTGCTCTTGTGTACAGGCAACTGGCAACTGTAGTGAAAGGTATCTGATTTGGTGAGGGCCAAGCATTGTATATATGAAAACATAGCAATATTTTCTGCATTGTTTTGTGTCCTGTTCATTATGAATCCCAACTCATTTTTAAACACAATTATGTAATGAACAGAGCTCATTAATAAAATTGTCCAGAGTGATTTAAAATCATTTACCAGAGTTGTTACAATTGATTTATATTATTAATAAATTGATTTTTATTTTTCAAAATCAGCATATAGCATTATTTGAAACCCAGGTACAGGATGTGCCATTTTGACTGCTGCTGCTGGTTTCAACAAGAGATTGATTATTTTCAGCAGCAGGTCAGTTAAACACTTCAAGAACTATAATCTGCATACCACTCAGTCCTGGTTACTTGCTGGTTTTTTATAATCTTGTTGATCTTCAAGCACTTCACCTTTCTTATGGACAGAGAATACGCCCAGGCTACAAATTTACCAGTATCTACTTATGTGAAAATTATCTCGCTCTATGCAACAGTCTCAGCCTCCCCCAGCTCTGGTAGTCAGTGAGCCCATTGATTTATACACATTTGCCAAACACTAAAATAATTTCCCTTTGGTTGCTTTACCTCTCTTTACAATTACCTCATACTTTTCATTTACATATACTACACTCTCATTTGTGTTATTTCTTCCTTTCTCCTGCTTAGACTGTTAATATAGCTTTTAGAAGGCAACGTCTTCCACCAGAGAAGAAAGGGAAGAACCTTGAAACCCTCTGGGTGGACTGAGGACAGTGAAGAGGGGCCATCTTACCCCTAATTCTCAAAAGGCAAGGAGTGCCTTAAAGAGGCCAGATTAAAAAAAAATTGAAATTGCTGCTCTTCTGTTTTGAAATGTCTTTTTAAGAGATCTGTGAGTAGCAGGTAGCAGCTGGTGGCACAAGGTGCTGAACAGGGGATGGGTGGAGAATTACAGCCCTCCAGCTTGGTAATATGTAGGCTACTGAAGGTTCACCTAAATTCTGAACTATTTCAGGCCTTGATAATTAAGAAACTCATGAACTAGAAAATGCAATAAAGCATCACGGAGATCAAAGGAAACAGGAGAGAAGTGTTTAGTTTTTGCTAAGTAGGAAGTGGCTACTTGTGACTTTATTAAGCACATTTACAGTGAAGCAAAGCAGGCACAGAAATCAAAGGGCTTGAAGATATTTGTGCATGTATTTACATGCACTTTAAATTTTAAAAGGAAAATGAGGAAGTTATAATAGGAGAAAATGGCACAATCAAGAGATGGTTTCATGAGTTTAA